TCGATGGTATCGAAAGCCGCTGAGAGGTCCGGGAGAACTAACAGGGACGCACTCCCCCTGTCTCTCTCCCTGCACAGGTCATCGTACAGGGCGACCAAGGCAGATTCAGTGCCGTACCTGGGTCTGAAGCCGGACTGAAATGGGTCCAGATAATCAGTTTCATCCAAGAATGCTTGGAGTTGTCCCGCCACCACCCGCTCTAGCACCTTGCCCAGGAACGAGATGTTGGCCACTGGTCTATAATTGACGGCCACCTCTGGATCCAGGGATGCCTTCTTTAGGACTAGTCGGACTACCGCCTCTTTTAAAGAGGACGGTACCCAACCGTCTCTTAAAGAGACGTTGACCACCTCCAGGATCCAGGTGCCAATCCCGTCCTTGGCTTTCTTAAGTAGCCAGGATGGGCATGGGTCTAGTAAGCAGGTGGTAGGGTGTACTTGTCCAAGCACCTTGTCCACATCATCAGGCCGCAACAACTGAAATTCATCTATTAATTGCGGATTCGACGGTGTCGTTGGCATCTCCTCAGTAGAATCTGGTTCAATAGTAGAGTCAAGCTTGTGACGAATCTGAGCGATTTTCTCCCTGAAATGCCTGGCAAAGTCGTCTTGAACCTAGATTACCTGAGTCCCAGACCCATGCTATTCATCACTGCACCACACTGGCTCTTCAACAAAACACTAAGAAACTTTTCAGATAGCTCAAAGTTTAAACACCTACAAATGAATATTGTCCCTGATAAGACTCAGACAGAAGGATGTCTTTTATTGTTTCTTATTTATATTTTTTAAAACTCTCAAGAAATAAAGCTAAAATATATTTTCAGCAGCAAAGTGGCTCAAATATGGTATATACGAAATTCCTAGCTCCTCTTGTGGCCACATTAAGTCCCATTTTGGAATACCCCAAATCAAATTTTCAAGATACATACATGTGAAATAAGTCACAGAAAGGAGTTAGGATTTGTAAACTTTGAGATCTTTTTATAAGAGAAAAACCAATTTCACTAAGACAATTAAAAGAGAACACTGTCCAAATAAGAACTAGTTGGTTCCAATTAATAAAAATTAAAAACTTTGCAAGCTCACTTGTATAGCACTGGTTATAGAAGACTGCTTATAAAACTTGAAAATTATTCTGTTGAAGAGCTTAGTAAAAAAAAGGATTGGTTTCAGTCATCTATTAAATTCTTATTAATTAAGAATATGGTAATAACATGAGAGCCTAGAAGCTTTGGGAAATGAACATAAACATTAGCCTGAAGTGCCTGAACTTGCCTAATTTTGGAAGCTAAGCAAGCTCAGCCCTGGTTAGAATCTGGATGGGAGAATTCAGTCCTGCACTGAGCAGGGGACTGGACCTGATGGCCTTCTAGGTCTCTTCCAATTCTATGATTCTATGATTAATGTACTAGAAGGGTCATGGACAAAAATATGGCCGTCCCAACCTCTCAGTCTGTACCAGCTAGGTCTAAAGAAATGGCAGTAAAAACTGTTCAAAGACACAGCCCACAAGAACAAGGACAAAGAAGAACTTTCAGAGGCACTGGTGAAGGCGGTTGAAGAACTGAGGAAATGGGCAGGAACTCCTGCCATTAATAACAAATTACCACTTATAATGGCTGGGATGAGGGAGGGGTTCCCAACAACAGGCTCACACAGGCACACAGTCTCTATGTGTGATGCACAGAAACCACGAGGAAGAAAGTTTTGTAACAACTTGGTATCTATTCATAATGTATTCTCCACTTAATCAGCTCAGTTTCTGAATATTTTAATCTGGTATATACATGGGCTAAGTTATAATTGATAGAATGTTCTAATTGTATTACTCACAGATATATAAATAAGACTGTGTATGTGACGGCAGTATTTAACATATTGTTATAACCCTTCTATCTATAAATATATAGATATATATATAGCCTTGGTCTTCTCAAAAGTCTTCCTTGGTCTTCCTTAGGAGACTTAGATAATCTTCATTTAGCTTTGAATTTATCTTTCATATTATAACATATATAATCAAAGCCAGAGGTCAGCTCTGGCCCCCTCCTCCCACATACATTCACTATGAATATTTGAAGGGACATCTGGTTTTTGGTTTTTTTTTTCAACTTGAACACTAGTGAATTTTCTTCCTTAAAGCAGAAACAGTTATGGGAAAGTGCTCATACTTCTGCAGGTTTGGGGAGAGAGAAATTGTTGTTTGTTTTTCTAAACTAAGCGCTCAGCAACATGAATTTCCCAGTTTATAGGGTGGAGAACATGTTACTTAAAGGGAGAAAAATCAACTCATCAGTACAAGTTATATCCATATCTAGTTCTCCATTTTTCTAACTGTTCATATAATATGCTGTTTACACAGATTATTCAACTGTTGGCACAGTATGATCACTTTCCAATATATTTTTGCAAGAGAACTGAGGTTTCCCTCCAAGACTTTTAAAATGTCAGTGTACGCTGTATTTCACAGGCCAAATACTAAATAGTCAGGTCTTCCTTTTCCCCAGGGGCCTCTAGCTAAGGACCAAAGTAGATGTTACATGCAGATACACGTTACATTTTCTTTATGTGTTGAAAAATTAAAAGTAACTAATTAAAAAACAAGCTCAACTGTAGGAGTTGGCAATCCGTAGAGCAAGAGGAATTGCAGGAAGTCTGCTCTAAAGCTGCTGGCAAGGACAGCCATCCCCAAATGTTGCTTGAGCACTGGGGAGGCTATCGTCCATAGCATTTACCCAGCAGCCAAAAGTAGTAAGGGATAACCCTACTGTGAGAATAACCCTAGAACTGCCCATGGATTTTCAGGATGGATTGTGCGTAGGGTGGGGGCACTTGATCTAGATTGTATCATCAGTAGAAATGTATCAGTGACCTGTTTTGGACAAACCTGCCATGGTTTGTTATTGTTAGGTGGGTGACATGTAAACGCAGACTTAGAAACATAGAAACAGAGCGAGTCAGAAGGGGTCTCCCGGGCCATCTAGTCTGACCCCTGGCTCCAGCTGGCTCTGCTCACGACATGCCCACCATGTGCACATCCAGCCTATCTTTGAACACCCTCACCGATGGGGCCTCAACAACCTCTTGGAAGCCCATTCCACACCCTTGGGGTCCTAATTGTCAGGAAGTGCTTCCTGGCATCTAAATGGAACCTTTGTTCCCTGAGCTTTACTCCGTTGGAGTGCGTCCTGCCTTCCTCCGCAGGGGAGAACAGGACTCTACCCATGTCCGTGTGACATCCCCTCACATACCTGTATGTTGCCAACATATCCCCTCTGAGTCTCCTCTTCTCCAGGCTGAAGAGACCCAGTTCCCTCAGTCTCGCTTCATACGGCATCCCCTGCAAACCGGCCCCTAACCTTGTGGCCCTACACTGCACTGACTCTAACCTGGCTATATCCTTACTGTATTGAGGGGCCCAAAACTGAGCACAATACTCCAGTTGCGGGAGCACCAGAGTTGTATAGTGTGGTAGTAATGCCTCTCTCGAACGAGAAGCCACACTTCTGGCTATGCAACTAAGGGTGGCGTTCGCCCTCTTGACCACCGCATCACACTGCTGACCCATGTTTAGCCTGCAGTCAACCAGTACCCCGAGGTCCCTTTCACAAGTGCTGCTCTCCAGCCACTTGTCCCCTAACCTGTACTTATGACACTTAGAGTGAGTGTTTAGAATCTCCTTATATCTGCCAACATTTTAATTGTTTGTACTTGGGATTTTTTTCCTGTCTTGCTCCTTGTACTGAATTTTAAGTTGGGATAGTAGCTACAGTTTTGGCATCAATGAAGCATTCCTTTAGGCAAAGTATCAAGAATTTAACAACACTTAGAGATAACTTGCAAGAATCAAAAGGGTAATTGGGATCAACCACTGGAAGAATTAAATCAGAGAGCTCCTATAAACACGTGGCAGAATTAGTTGTATCATTGTTTGATTAGAAGCCAATGCTTCCACCACCACCTAATAAATACTAACAATTTCCAGACTTCACAGACTAAATCTTTCTTTTTATCAATAGCCATACCTGCTAAAGAGGATACATATTTCTATCAAACTTGGAACTCTTTTTACTATAGGCTAGAGAAACGGGACTATGCGTAGATTTGAATATGGCTATGGATTGTTATAAAAATAAATAAATAAATGGGGGGCTGACCCAGTATGTCTGATGTCTTTGATGATTGATGTTTTAGTTTGTAGTTTGTAGAAAATAATAATAATAAAACCTATTAAAAAATAGCCATACCTGCTGATGTTTCTCTAAATTTTTCACTTGTTTTCTTCTTTCGCCATTTCCATGGTTTGAAGAATTTACCAATAGTAGATAGTTTGCCTTTCCTCTTGAAAGGAGGAGTCCGTGATCCAGGAGTTTGCCCATCTGAATTTGCAACTGATGCCTTGTCTATCCCATCAACTGTGTAAACAAAGAGGAAGAAGAAACTCAGTGCATTTCATTTGTGAAGCCTGTGGGACTGCAAAGTCCTTTTTTTCAGTTCAAAATACAAGTTTATAGGAGAAAATAAGAGACACTCCATGGTTTACATATAATGCCTTTTAAAATGAATTTCTACATCACTGTTAAAATAGTAAAAAAACCTTCATTAAAAAGATACATAAGCAAGTATAAGCGGTATATTCTAGCTCAGAACCAAAACAGAGAGCAACAGATGCTGAACCAGCACTCTGAAATGCAGAACATGGCTTTCTAGTTAAGCTATTGCCAAGTCTCCCAGCTTGTTCAGTTAATGCGGTCTAGCACCTTGATTTTTCAAAGCAATGCTGGAGTTCACAGGACTCCAGGTGGTTACCACAGATTGCTCAAAAGTTCTACAATGTGACAAGTGAGTGTGCACTGACTATTTTCTGAAAGCAATCCAGGAAAGTTAAACACATTGTTAAGCACTTAGCTGTTCTCATTCAATATACAATAAATAAGGACTGCAATAGCTTTGGTTATTTGTAATCAGTACACATGCGGTCTTTGCATGCCTTACTTATTTTCCAGACCTCATGGGATTAAAAACTCTATCCTTGCCCTTTAATACATAGTCCTCCTCCCTTCTCTATACTCCTCCAAAGAGACCATGTCACAGGCATCCTCGTTACTAAAAAAGAAAGCAAAACCCAAAACAGTTGTATAGTTACAGAAGATGTATTTTAATGTAATCCTTCTTGGATCTATAGTCTTATCATTATTATTAACCATACAGTGTTCAGCTTTCCACAAAGGGATCATAACACCAGAGAATGGAGATATCAGGTTTGATCAAAGGATAGCAAGGTGGGTCCCAATGATAGGTAACACAGGTTGGTTACTTCTATGGGCTTTGTAAACCAGCAACAACATCTTGAATGTTATTTGGTAACTCACTGGCTGCCAGTGCAGACTTTACAGCACTGGAGTCACATGCGCATGGTAAGAAACTCCACTGAGCAATCTTAGCTATCATATTCTACACTAGCTGCAGCTTCTGAACAAATTTCAAGGGCAGCCACACATGAAAACACAACCATTCTTGGACAGGTATAGCCCAGCCTCAATCATCCATCCAGACTCTTAAGTTACCAATTCAAATATTACTCTCACCAGGCTGTTCCTGCCAGGAATGGCTATAGCAGTTGTATCAGCCTCAGATGGTAACATGTGTTCTTTAACACCAAGCCACTCAAGCATCTCATGACAGAGATGAATCCAAGAGAGCACATCATTTTTCTGGCACAGGAAGTACAATCTCATCCAGAACAGATAACTTAGCCAATTCCTGAACCTGGGAACCACTCACCAACATAGAAACAGAAACAGAGCGAGTCAGAAGGGCCATCTAGTCACTCACAACATGCCCACTATGTGCATGTCTAGCCTACCTTTGAACACCCTCACCGATGGGGCATCAACCACCTCCTATGGAAGCCCATTCCATGCCCTTGGGGTCCTGATGGTCAGGAAGTACTTCCTGGCATCTAACATAGCCTGCATCTTACCACGATTCAATTTCAGTTGGTTGGCCCTCATCCAGCCCACTGCAATATGGAAATTGGTCCCAATGAAGAACTGCTTGAACAGCTATCCCTGACTGCTAGGCAAGGTACACAGGCCTATAAGGATTCACTTCTGAAAGCACTGACAACAGAGTGGATCATGTTCTCGACGACAGCATCTGAATCTGTGCTACTGAAGAATAAAAAATGCTAACTGCTTTAGCCCACTTACAAATGCAACATCAATAAATGAATAAAACTCTATATTATTCTAGCTCATGGACAAGTGTAGCTTTATGAGAATGAGCAACAATGAGTATGTCCATCTTTCCTCTTCACTCTGGCACAGCTATGAAGAAATCAAAAATCCTACTTCCATTTTAAAAAACCATAGTTTAACATTAAGGCTTAACCCTAAACTGTGGTTAGTCTTAACTTTGTTTAGTGAAAACAAGCTTATAAACCATGATTTGAAGTTGACTTAAGTTTCACTAATCATAGTTAGGACAATCATTTATTAAGTTAAAATATTTCTCAATTGCCTTTTATCAAAAGGAAGACTACAAAAGTATGAATAAACCTATTTATCCAAACATATAAATACAAAATAATGAAAATAATAAATAACAGTGAAAGAATACAGCAACTAATCAAGCTGAATAAGAACAGATTGGAAAATAAACATACATCCCTCTCAAAGTAATGTAGCGGGAAGACTCTCCCCAGAAGTCTATAGAGATGTACCATAGCAGAGGCAGACACAATGTGTCCAACTTTGACAGCTCAGTAGTTCTTGAAGGCTTCACTGAACCAAACTAAAGAATAGTCCAAGCCCATGTGAAGCCTGGTATGTTTGCTAGTGAAATCTAAAAAACCCCAGTACACTGGCTTATTTATTTTGCTTCTTGGAAGACAAAAGGATAACAAATTTCAACTAGACAGAACTGTCAAAAAGAGACAGCTGTACTTCAACTGCAGTCCAGCACAACGTGATTCCATACTTTTCTTCATTTCTGCATTCAACTGTTCAACTTCAGGAAATTCTTTTATGGGCTAACTATGTTCTGACAGCATTTTAATTAAAGGAAAGGGAAAAGCTTGGGTATTAATGTGGGTGTTTGAATAGTAGTTTCCAGATGGGGCTGCCAATGCTGCAAAATGTTAATTAGACCTCCTGCTAGAGAAGAGATTAAAAGTGTAGGTATCAGAGCATGCAAATGAATCCTGACTTTTGCCTTAATACTGAGAAAGTGGGTAGAAAAGTATCTCTCATCTTCTTGGGATAGTTATAAGACACAGACTCAGTCACCTCAGTATTTCTGTTTTTTTTTAACCCAGAAATACATTAATGAAAACAATATCAAGTCTTCTTACAGTGACATTTGCTCTACAAAGTTCAAAACTGGTTTTGTATAGTTAATGTTCTCAACTATATGTCTTCAGTATACTTACTAAACATACAAACAATTGTCTCTTGGTTGTTTCTCTTTTCTTGATTGTTTCTCCTGTGATTTGCTCCTTTACATGCCCACTTTAGCCCCATAAAATTCCATGTGAAACCTGGAAATTCCAGCCTCTCTGCCAAGATTTTTTTTTTTTTTACTATATTTGATATGTCTCAGCTTTGCTAGGGGACACATGGCCCTTCATGGAGTGCAGTTTCATTCTGAAAGCAAAGCAAGAAAAGTCATATGACACATGCAAGACTAACAAATTCATTATGGTATGGACAAGCTACTGCTGGAATAGTAGAAACTGCAAGCAGATTGTCCAGGTCACACCCATGACTTGTTCAAGGCTGGTCTGGAAGCCACCCCAGCCATCCACCTTCCTTGGGTTCAGATGTCATGGCAGCCTTCAGCCTGCACAGCTAATTGAGGTAGCATCAGAAAATGAGGTGACATGCAATCGGAACCATGCTTTCTTTTCTTTCTCTGATCATGCAAACCTTTTTCATGGCCATTTTCTTCACAAACATATACCCCCAGGGATAGTTTGGATGCATTGTGTGATGGATGATTTAGACATTGTGAGCTGGCTCTCTGTCTTGTTTATTTAAATGTCTTTTTGTACAAATTGCTTTTTAAGCTGCTTAGGTATGAAAAATACTCTAAATTAGCAGTCAAGTGCTGCATAGATGATGCCTAGAATCAATTGCTATAGTTATATAAATTGGCATAGTTATATAACCATATCCTATTAGCCCCATGTTTTTCATATATATTTTCCAGGAACCACAATGCTAATAAAAGTAATTAACAATGGAAAATTTAATATAAATGAATTAAACCAGGAACTACTCAGAAATGTGCTTTTCTCTGAAAGGAAGAATTTGAAAACCAGCCTTTTACTGATTTTTCCAGGTGTTACATTTTAACATTATGCCAGGTGTGTGCAGGGACTTGCACAAAGCATGTCTTCTACCTAGTTCAATTTTCATGTATCTCAATTTGCAAGGCCACTGGTAACATTTAACCCTTCTCATCAGTTCAATGCATGGGGCTCTGTGATCAGCCATGGCTCACATGAGTCTTTTCCTGAATCCAATGACACTGAAGGAAATGTAAATCCAATGACAGCTGTGAGCAAGGAAAGATTTTGGACAGGGACAGTCTCTAGCCAATAACTAATAAGAAGAGCTGCTATGTTAGGAAAGCATTAAGTGTTGTGGAAGAAACATGGAGTGGACGGGGAGGGGCACAATTCACTCATGAAAAAGTTTTTTTTTTCTGGCCTAGCAGAACACCACACGTTTTTCAAAAATTACAGGAGCCTAATGTTTACTAGAACCCAAGACTTTTCTCATCTCTTTCCTGTGACACAGTACCAATTCCTCCCTCCCCCCATAAATACTTAATCCTTTGGTTCTCAAAATGCACAGCTAGGCCTCTGTTTAATCACTGCCAACAGGTGAACTGGTCCACTCAAATCAACAGTTGTCTCATGCAACAGCGTCTCAGATAACCAAATACTGGCTATGAGGCAGAGCACGTTAGGCCTGAAGTTAAAATTTACACAGAAACTATGGAAGAGATTACTCAAGGGAGCTGCCACTGACTTCAGTGAATGTGTAGTGTGGTCTTCCCCAACTTGGTGTACTCCAGATGTAATGGATTACTACTCCCATCATCCCCAGCAACCCTGGTCATAATAATTGTGAATGATGGGAGTGGCAAGTCAACACATCTAGAAAGCATTGTATTAGGGAGGGATGGTGTAGGGTAAAGGCTTTTCAGTCTTTTTCATAATACTAGAACTGGGGGTCAGTTCATGGAATTGATTGTCAGTAGGCTTAAGGCAGGCACAGTAAAATGCTCTGTATATAATGCATAATTAACTGATGGTATTCACAGCCATAAGATGTGGCAGTACCTAGTAAACAAATTAATGGGGGATAAGTCTATATATCTATTGGCTATAGGACTACCATATTCA